TAACTCAGAGCCAGGGTGTAGCTCAGCGGTACATGGGGTAACGCAGAGCACTTGCCTAGCTTGTGCAAGGCCACTGTCCCAATCAATTATGTTGTCTTAAAGCTTCTTTTATTTTTAATTTTTTAGGTTAGTATACAAAGTAATGGCTTTCATTATGGCATCTTCATATATATGTATCATTATGTTTTGTCCTCTGTTCACCAACAGGCTCCTAACTATTCCCCCTGTCCACACAAGCCCCTCTAATCCCTGTCCCACAGAACAACCAGAGTGACTGTCATAAGATGAAAGTTATTTGTTACTGCCCCATGACTGCCCTTCAACATGGCCACCCACAAATCTGCCATGGAATCTTCATGGCCCTGCCTCACTTGGCCCTACAGATCTCACCAGCTCTCCTCTCAAACGCTTCTGGCTTCTGTCCTTTCTCCATTTGAATCCTTCACTCCCAAGCTCTACTGGTATGCTAGCTTCTTCTCTCTTCCAATTATCTGGCTTCACATTCCCCTTCAGGACTGAGCTATAAACACCATCACTTCCTCCAGGAAGCCTTCATTAAGGTTTCTCATACCTCAGCACTACTGACATTCTGAGCCCAATCACCAATTGTTTGCTGGCAGGCAGAGCTGTCCTGTGCCTTGTAGGACATTCTGCAGCATCCCTCACTCTGGATGCCACATCATGACCCAGAGACATCTAAAAAGTCTCCAGTCATTGATGGGTGTTCTCTGGGGTATAGGATCATTCTGTTGAGAACCTCTGCCCCAGACCAGATGAAAGCCACAGATCTCACTGCAACATATCTCGAAGCATTCTGAACTTAGCAGAGTAATAATTATTGAATGTCATCCTCTCTCCTATGCTAGCATCTCCACAAGGGTAGAAGCAGAGACTAGCTCAGTCTTGTTCCTACAACATCTCAGTGCTTGACACAATTATTTTCTGAATAATCAATAAAATTTAAGTAGTCTTTCCTTTCAATATTCCTTTTAATACAATTTTGAAATCAACACAATTTAGCAATTCAAACGTGCCCATCCACCGAATGTGGTTTCTCTGGCAGTGACTTAGGGAATCGAACTTCAAAGTCATGGTATATAGTATTTACAGGGAAAACCCTCAATAAGTACAGCGAACCCCTGAGACCAGTCATAACTTCTCCTTTGTCATGAGAAAGATGTGGTTAACCTATGGGGACTTTTAGATATTGCTCCTAAGCAATAATCTACACAATGACAAAGATGGCATATAGCACTATAAGAGAAAGACAGAGCACTTTAATCTAGAAGTTGTGCTCCCTTGCTTGATTTGCAGTGTCCAATAAGGGGCTGGAGAGAAAGATGCTCAGCAATTAGGAGAACTGGCTGCTCTTGTGGAGGACCTGGGTTCAATTCCCAGTACCGATATCAGGTGGGTCACAATTGCCTGTATCTCTAATTCCAAGGAATTATATGACCTCTTCTGGCCTCTACGGGCTCCTGCACCCACATGGTGTACATATAGACCAGCAGGCTCACAAACAAAGACATAAAAAAAAATTTAAACAATGTGTCCAATAGGAAGGAAAAATCCCAGTCTTTAGTGATCTAGAGGAGGCAGATTACTATTGAGATCCAGAACTGAGTAGGTGGTATTTTCCTGGGAAGTCAACATTAGAGGAACTCCTCCTCTCACTCCTAATTCCCCACATGGAACACATGTTCCCCAACTCACATCAGTGCATGACTGTGGGCTACAGGCAAACACCCTAGGGTCAAGTCCATGACCAAGTGAATTATGCCAGTTTAGGGGGTCCTAGATGCCAACTAATCTGTCTGAAATATTAAAATCAGTGCCAGTAATATCTACCCACCGTTTAAGAAACAGCAGGATTGGAAAAAATCAAAAAACAAAGAAAAAAAAACTGAAATTAGGTCTAACTCCTACTGCCTTAAAAATTTCTGACTCACAGAGCTGGAGAGATGGCTCAGCAGTTAAGAGCAATGGCTGCTCTTGCAGAGGACCCAGGTTCAATTTCCAGCACCCACATGGAGGCTACACTACAAAGACTCTGAACAAGACTTGGCTCAGAAGAAAAAAATTATCCCTAATTTGGCAGGTGCTAAGAAATATAATCTTAGCTCATATAGAGATGAGACAGGGAAGTGAAAGATAAAAGCTAATACCTATTATTTTGCCATTGGTTTGAATCATATTCTCCACAGAAGTATCAATTAGGATTTGGTTTGGCTGCATATAATTCCCTGCAATACAAGACTAGAAATAGGTGATAGACGGGACTAGCACGGCACTCTACATCCATCTGGCATCCAGGCTGCTCCTGTCTTTCTATCGCTCATCCTTACTATCTGCTTCCATTTTCAAGGTAACTTCATGGCCACAATATGGCCTTCAAAGCTCCAAATGTCAGATCCACATAATGCAATGAGAAGGATTAAACAAGCCCCAAAGGTCTATATCCTGACTGCATCTGTCACTTTAAATGAGCTTTCCCAATAATCTTTACAGATACCTCATTGGTCACCCCTATTTGCAAGAGCCACTGAGAAATGCTTCCTAATATCATCACCACTATCCCTCCACCCATCCTCTCAAGCCCCATATAATCCAATTAAATCAAAGAGACAAGGGACTACAGAGTAGGCAGTTAGCAGTCTCTGCTACAGTGGAATTAGTATGTTGTAACTTATGAGACAGCAAAATTTCCAGGACCCTATCTAGTCGGTGCCTTAGTGGTCTTATAAGACCACTAAGGTTCACAGCTGCTAAAAGCCATGCAGTTAATAAATGGAAACAAGAGGCTTTAAATCTGATTCTGGAATTCATGCCAGACCTTAGAAGTGAAGTTGCAGTGAATTCTGTCTGTAAATACACATAGATTTAAAATAAATTCCCTATATTGACTTTTCTCCAAAAACTGGAAGAAGTGTCCTGGTTTGTGAGGAAACTATCCAGTCAGACCACTCTTGAATATGTAAGGTACTTACTTCTAAACGATCAGGATTATTGAGTGTGACTCAGAATTCATGGCATATTTTCGATTTCAACAGAATTTTAAGAAGGTTATGAGTGAGGGCTACATCGTTAGGCATCTCAGTACCCTACCCTTGCATTAAAGAGAACAACTTCCAGTACCACCCATGAAGGCCAGTTCACAAAACCCAAAATGTCTCACACTGTCATTAAAAAGATAGACTTATTATTTTTATTTTATGTGCATAAGTGTTTTGTCTGCTCATATATATGTGTAGCCTGTGTAAGCAGTGCCCTCAGAGCTGTTGGATCCCCTGGAACTAGAGCAGCAAGTGCTGTTAACAGCTGAGCCATCTCTCCAGCCCCTCGCAGGGACCTTTTAATGGGTTTTATGTCTTATTTATTGTGCTTATCTGACAACTTCACAAGGCTAACAGACGTCTTTAAAAATGTGTTGACATTTTAGTTCATGCTGAATATCCTTCAGTGTATTATCAAATTTGACCAGTACAAATATTCCCTCAAGAGTATTAAAAAAATAGATACACACAGAAATACAAATGTACATCTCTGAGTATATGTCACACATATTATATACAAATATTCTATCTCCAGTACATCATCAAATGCAGGGCTATAAATAGAATGTCAATTTCAGCCACCACCCACCCATTTGGTTAGATGTAAAACTTCCAGCAAACAAGTCAACTGAAGCAGCCAGCAGTCACCCATCCATTTCCCAAAGCCTCCTGCCGTCCCCTTCTCCTAGGGCTCAGCAAAGATTTCTTCAACCAAAGATCTCCGGCCAAATTCAAATGCTCCCCATGATCAACTGCAGCCTTGTGGGCCCAAGGTGCCCTAACATTTTAAATTGCATTGTTGCCAAATTAATCGTGAGAGTGAACAATATTTTACTAAGTAAACTTGCTCGATTTGCTCACACTGAGCACGTAAAGAAATATCAGGGGGACACTGAAGCAGAAAAAAAAAAAAAAAATCCCCTGCTTAAATCCAAGAATGAGCTGTCAAAGCTCCCCTGAGCTAACAAAAGCAGTGTGCAAAAGCTCTAGAGCAGGGCGTGGTGGCACACCTTCAATCCCAGCCCTCAGGAGGCAGAGTTGGGCGGATCTCTGCGAGATTGAGGACAGCCTAGTCTACATGGCGAGTTTCAGGTCAAGTAGGGAGGGCTACAGGAAGACCCTGTCTCAAAAAAAAAAAAAAAAGCTATTTGTCTTCCGCCAAACTGCACCATTTTGCCATTTCCAAAAATCTGAAATTACTGCCTTTTCTCAGGCAGGAAACACAAGTAAGTCGGGGTAAGAGAGAACAGTATTACCATAATCTTAAGAGAGTAAATTTATTATTTTGCCCCTACTTTCAAACTTAAACATAAAAAGTCGTGTGCAACGACTTTTTAACTTTCATCACATCACTTCAGCAGACAGCGGAGTGGGAGCGATGCCTAGTGACGGGGACTGAAAGAAAGGCATGGGCATCCTGAAACGGCCGGCGTCGTTCGGAGCCCGGTTCCCCTCCCCTGGGGAAGACGAGGACTTGAGACCGCTTCCCCGGGAGTCCCCGCGCCCGCCGAGGCCCAGCCGGGTACCCGGGCCTCCCCTCCCGGCCCAGATGCGGAAGGAGGGTCGGGCAGGCAGGTCGAGGGAGCAGCGTGCGTCCCGGGGCAGCGGCGCGGGGTGCGGGGTTCGCACGGCGGGGAATGCTGGCGCCGCGAGGCCTCTCGCAAAGTTTCTCGCAGTTCCCGGCGCTCGGCTTCCCGCCGGGCCGCGCCCTCCAGCCCGCCCGGTCACCCGCCCCTGCCGGTGGAAGGAGGTGGAGACCCGAGCGGGGCCGGGCGGCGGGGCAGGACCCGGGGGTGGCGCCGCTAGAGGGCGCTGCGGCCCGGCCGGGACGGGACGGGACAGGAGCGGGCGGCGGGAAGCGCGTGGAGGTGGCCGAGGGGCTCCGCGCTGTCCCAGCGCTCCCCGCGCTGGCCGCCCCAGCCCGTACCCCGGCCACTCGCTACTTACCCGCAGAGCAGCTGAGAAGCGCCAGCAGCGCAGGCGGCCGCATCCCGGCGGCGGAAGCTACGCGCCCTTTCTGGGCGCCCGGCGCGGAGAGGCGCGGGAGCCGAACTGCGCGGCTGCCGCTCCGCCGCCCTCGGCGCGGCTGACCCTTCTCCCGGTTCCCCTCCTCCTTCCCGGCTCCGCCGCGCCGCCTCAGCCCGCGCCCTCTGGCGGCCGGGAGCGTAAGCGCCCCGGTGAGCGCCTCCAGCCTGGGCTGCCCGCTGGGCTGCGGAAAAAGGTGGCCAGGACAGCGCCCTCTTCCCGGGGCTGACCTCTGCTGCCCGCACCGTTCTCCAGTCCTCCTTTCCTCCACCAGCGCACCGTACTATGCCTCCGTATCTCCCATCTTACCCCATCACTCCTCCTCTGTCCCCCTTACCATCCCCAAAGTGAAGGATCGCTTTTCTTCCCAGCTTAATGGACTATATGCAGTTTTTTTTTAAGGCAGAATTGATCATTCAACTCTTAATATTGATGGCCCCAATGTCCTACTTTGATGAAGGTATTTTTAATCAGCTCAACTAAATTACTTAATATCCCCCTTTTTAAATGGAATTTGATCCAGCTTTGGCCTGGAATTTTGCTTTTAATAGACATTTGTGTAAAGGTAATTTTCTATAGATGTAATTTTGAGTGTTCACCATAATGGAAGAAAGAGGGTAGAATTTTATTCAGCACATCTGATGAAAATTAATTGGCATACAGAGTAGTTGAGTGATGTGGGAAAGTCTCAAGAAGAGTCCCTCCTGTCACAGGACCATGATGGGGCTTCCATCCCACCTAGAAAGAGTGACAGCCTAATGGACAGGCCTAGTTATATGTGGACTGAAGAGAAAAACAATTACAAGAGAAGAATTAATTAAAGCCCCCTTCCCAGAAACATAGGTTTTCTCAGTGTCTCCAAGGATGTGAACAAGACCAAGTGTTTACCCCTAGCCTGAATATAGACCATGTCTTTCAGGAAACAATCAGTGCCTGTGTTTCCATTCATACCTACTCATATTTTCTGGCTATCTACTATGTGTATGCAACTCAACTACCTGCTAATGCCAGTCTCTTTGCTAAGGACTTGCATTTAACAAGGACCATTGCTAGGCTTTTTGAATGTCTGGTTGACTGCTTTGATCCCTTGACCCTTCTTAGGAAAATTCTAAAACTTACATAGTTGAAAGTCTAAATTGTTTCCAACTTCCTAACTTGTCTAGGTTTCTTCCAAGAAAATATTCCTTGCACGTGTTATAGGCATGACACACTATAAGCAAGATGTAAAAGGAGAGAAAAGGATTATCGCTAGGTAAACTCAATGGAGAACTCTAGATTTGGTAACAATCAACTCTCTAGGAGCTCAGTCTGTACATTCATCAAAATTCATCAGGAACATTACTATGTTCCAGAACAAGTGTGAAAACTGGGCCCTAAGGACAGCAGAGCACATTCTTTAAATAATAGGTTTGCCCAGGTGTTCTTCCTCTCTACAAGAGACATTGATAAACGGCACATTACACAGTTCTGTAACTCACACTTGAAAAAGGATTACCTTTCAGTTACTCTGGTCATATGATAAATGAACTCACTGGGAGTTCCTTCCCAATCACTAGTAGAAAGAGTCTCAAAGCAAATGTGCTCATGGGGACGCTGACAGACACTCAGTGGGACACTGCTTGCCTGTAACCAGCTGAAGGGGACAGCTTTCCATAGGGAAAAAACAATCTCAGAGACTCTAAGACAGACACATGAAGAAGAACAGGCCACTGTTCCATCTTATGGGAATTCTCACCTTGATCTGAGTTGTCACCCCCAAGGTGGCCTTTAGGATTTTTCCACTTTCCTTGCAGGAGGAAGGTGGGGGAGGGGGAAATAAAAGCAATCTCTTCTGGAGAAAGAAACATGATTGAAACAATCTGGTTTTTTTTTTAATAATTTAA